ATACAAAAAACAAAATCTGGCATAGATATTTCCCCTCAGCAGGAACCAATGCTTCTCTACAGTTCCTCTCAAACAAATCCTTGAGGCAATATAATTATTTATAGCACACAAAACAACAATAACGACAACAGCAAACAACAAAGACTTTGAAAATGCCCCCCAACACTCCAGTTGTTCTAGTATATTTATAAGTAAACATAATTCTTTATGTCATGATGATTATGGTCTAGTAATTGTTTAGCCTAACAGAAATAAAAAAACTTCCTTTGAACAAAGACATTTGAAAGTTTTCATTTTTTTATTTAATCTTATTCACCCATCCCTTCTGACAACATGTTGGAGTATGTCAGGGATGTATATACAGCAAATTGCCCACACATTAATTTGCCTGTGAAATTATATATGCCGTAGGAGTTTTTTTTTCCCCATGCAATTACTAATGAATATTTTTTTTAATTGGACACATACAGTATGAGTGACATATTTCTAGACAACAAAATGGCCTTCTATCATTTCCCTTCCCCTGTAACATGAAAACAGTTGGCTCCCTCCCCATTATAAATTTAATAATGGTTCAAATTTTAAAAATCATTTATAGTTTACGGCAGGTAAAAGCAATCTACTCTGGGCTGTTAGAAATGTAGGCTGTTGTTGGAGAAAGCATCTAGAGATTGGAGTTTGATCCACTTTCAGTCCCACAGACAGAAGATCAGTCCCATGATAAAGGAAGTGGAAGAAAGACAACACATTGATCCCCCTCAGGTCTGAAAAGCCATGAGTAGTGGACCCTAAAAGCATTTGAGACCAACAGTGCTTAGTAGTACAGTTTCATCCCAGGACTTGACAGTTGGGGAGATTCTAATTTTTCCATTTCTAAATTGGCACGGTGGAGACTGGGAAGTGGCAAGTTGATAGCATTTGGTAGGTGTCAGGTTTTCAAAGAGTCAGATCATCTTTAGCTGAGAGGACTATCTGACACTGGATTGGAACATTTTAGAAAAGCATTGCTGGGTCAGACCTATCTAGTCCAGCATTCTAGACTAGAAAATTACTTTGGGCAACCAGATGCCTGTAGGAAGACTACAAGCAGAATATGAGTGTACACTTTTATTCAAGGTCTTCACTAAGTGATAAAGAGAGACATACTGTATCTCTTTATGGGAAAGGGCACAATATATACTCAACGTCATTTGCAGCCATCGATATCTTTAACCTCCCTTGGATTTTTGGAAATCACCTCCCTTGGATTTTTGGAAATGCACACTGTTACAAACAGCTATGATGTCACCTGTCCTTCAAGGTTTAGGCTGGAGTGTTAACATCCAATGGTGGTCGGAAGGCGGGACATCGGGGGAGGAGCTGGGATATATAGGGGTGTGAATGTGTGTGAGGGGCAGATCAGGATCTGTGAGTGTTGAGATGAGATAGTGATCAGATTGTGTGGAGATATGAGTCTGTGTGAGCTAGAGCCTTTCTTTATGTGATTACCTGATTTGTTTGTTATACCAATCTTAATGTACCAATCAATAAACTTTAGTTATTTTGTTTGAAATCCATTCCGGCCTGAAGATACTTATTGCAGGGGATGGATAGTGGCAGACTACCAGAAGAGTAACAGTGGAGTGACGTAGCGACCTTCCTTGGTGAGGTAGAAGGAGGCCGTTACACACACCATCTTCCATTTCTTATCTTGAGGGTGGCTAGGTAAGAAACTGAAGGAGATACATATTTCCAAAAACTGAGGGTGGCTATCTCCACCATCCTGCACAGCTCAGAGTCTTGCAGTGTTTCCCCCTGTGAAATCTTGATTTGACTCTTATGAGAGCACTTGGCTTCCTACAGCCTTCCTCAGCAGCAGGCCTTTTAAGCAGGCCTCCCATTTTATCAACCCTTTCTTTCCAGGGTAGCAGAGTTGACTGCCTAGTGGCAGAAAGGGGTACAAGGAAAGCCCACATATTTCATGTAACCAGTATAGCTTCAGCCAACAAGGGAACACTACTGATGGGAGTCACCTGGAACACAACACATGACAATTCTACAAGAAGACGACAGAGCAGGATGTTGGCATTTGGATGAAGACCTCAGACCACTTATTGCACAGGGGTTAATTGGTTCAAGAAGTGCCATTCTTTCCCCTTTCTCATAATTTCTTACCGCTCACCTCTGTCGTATAAAAAGGTTACATTTCTTCCCAATCTTGTTCCACCTCTCCCTCCACTTCCTCTGCAACAGTAGTTCCCAACAGTGCCCTCTCCTTGATGTTCTTGGACTAAAATTCCCAGAAGCCTTCACCATTAGCTGGGCTGGCCAGGATTCTCTGGGAGTTGTAGTTCAATATCCGGGGGCTCATATTTGGGAACCACTGCTCTACAACAACAACAAAAAACTGGAACAAAGAGAAAGGAAATAAGAAGCAAATATGTATGCTTTCTTTTTGTGGTGAAAACGTAAGAACCATGCCGCTAATGCTTTCAGGTTTACTAATTTTGGCTTTGCTTCTCCACACGCTTCTGTATATGGCCAGTTCTTATAGGACATGACCAGTAGGACATGAATCTCCAGTGGTCTTTGCATATGTAAGCTATCTCATTGAATTTCTGCCATCACTAAATAAAATCATATTTGATTAATGAGACTAGGAAAGATCACAGGGACTGTTGTTTATCAAAGCAGAAAATCTTGAGTTAGGCTAAGTAGAACAGTGGCTTCTGTCAGCAAAAGCCATCTTTTGAAGAGAAATAGCCTAGACATCAGAAGTCGGGCTTTGACCAGAAGAGCATTTAAATTTGCACAATCGTTCTGAACTCACCCTGGAGATAAACATAGACATAAAACTGGGCACCAGTTTTGGGCATAAAAATGGCTAGTATAAAGCTCTACATAGGGGAAGCAGGGCAATGTGTAATGAGTAATGAGGGAAGTTAGTCTATAAGAATAATGGTAAATAAATATTCATACCAGGAAGTGTGGCTCCTTTTAAATATCCAATAACATTGGACACTGTCTTATAAGTTGGATGAGACTGAACATTCAGAGTCAGCATTTTTCTTTCAGCTAGGAGAAAAAGGAAGACATATATTTAAAATGTTGATGAATCCAGCCATACAATCATAAAAACTCTTCATTAAAAACAGGTTTCATTTTCATAAGACTTTTAAAATAATGTTCTGATTTTTGTGACAAAGCTTCATGAATTTCTTAATAGATTCAAGATCATCCATACTATGGTTTTCCCAATTATTATGTATTAAAGTGAAAGCTGAACCATGAAGGAAGGAAAAGGGAAGGGATAAGGGGGTAAAAAAAAGGAAAAGTGGCACTAGAGGAGAGTTTATGGAAACCTTGGACTCTCAGAAAGCCAAACAAGTGGGTTCTAGATCAGATTAAGCCCGGACTCTTGCTGGAATAGAAAATTATTAACCTGAATAATGTTGGACATATTATTAGAAGACAGGATTCAGTGGGAAAAAAATAACAATTCTAGGAAAAGTGGAAGGCAATAGCAAGCAAAGGATAGACGATCTTAATAATGAAATGGATAGACATAATAAATAAAGTAATGCCCTTTAGCATTCAAGATCTAAGCAGGGATGATTTTGGAGACTATTGGTTCATATGATCACCAGAAGCATAATAACAATATTAATACATGAAAATAGTTATGATTTATTCATTTGATTTATATGCTCCCTTTCCTCCAATAAGCTCAACACTGTGTCCATGGCTGCCTTCCTTCTCACCTCTGCTACTCTACACACTTCACAACAATCTTGTAAAATAGGTCAGACTGAGAGAGTGAAAAACCAAAGGTTATCCAGTGAGTTTCACAGCTGAGTAGGGACTGAACCTAGACTTTCCATCCTGGTGGAAATTTAAAAGCTGTGTCCCTAATATTCAAAGATGTGGACTTTCAGTTTTACAGAATATTCTGTTCTTGTCTAAGTTGGCTCTGGACAACAGATGTAGTAAAAGCCTATTTTCATGAAAGTCACTTTCCTTTTAAAGGCAAAAATGGGTCCTGAAATAGTACAAGAAAATAAGAGCACAACAATTTCATGCGGGCTACTGCCTGTTTCCATACAGACAACAACTTTCCTTAAATGTACCTTTAAAGTTTAAGGGGGCTTACCCCATATCAGCATGCTTATTCCTCTTCAGAACATGTTTCATGAGCTCCCTTCGCCCTTTAAGGCTCTTTCTGTGTGTGTGTTTAGTCGTTTAGTCGTGTCCGACCCTTCGTGACCCCATGGACCAGAGCACGCCAGGCCCTCCTGTCTTCTACCGCCTCCCGGAGTTGTGTCAGGTTCATGTTGGTTGCTTCGCAGACACTGTCCAGCCATCTCATCCTCGGTCGTCCCCTTCTCCTCTTGCCATCACACCTTCCTAACATCAAGGTTTTTTCCAAGGACTCTTTTCTTCTCATGAGATGGCCAAAGTACTGGAGCCTCAGGTTCAGGATCTGTCCTTCAAGTGAGCATTCAGGGTTGATTTCCTTTAGAACTGATAGGTTTGTTCTCCTTGCAGTCCAGGGGATTCTCAAGAGTCTCCTCCAGCACCACAATTCAAAGGCTCTTTCTACAGAACATTATTTCAATATTTCTGCAGAGCTGTTGATACATGTCTTTTGGGTATCATTTTGCCTGCATATGCTTTGAGATAAGTGGAGAATGATGATTCTGATTTTGTGGGTGGTTGTAGTGAATCTGTTCTGGATATACCAAATTTTAATGGAGCAACTCCAGCTACTGGACCCTTTTCCCAAAATGTATTCAGAATCCTGGACAGCTTCTTAAACTCTCAATCAGAAATAGCCATTTCCACCTATGAGCCATTTCCACCAAAGCCTGAATATCAGAAACAGATACAAAGTCATTGAAACAGAGATGCTCTACAGGAGGATCATGGAATCGTGATCGTCCTTGTTTTTCCTTGCCTCACCAATTCATTTCCTGTCCTTATAAAGAGTATATATAGGAATGTTTAAGGGAGGACTACTGTGCAATATGAAGAGCCACTTGTCCCTCCGTCTTTGTCAAAGGGGCTTTCATGTTAATTTTTCTACCATTTGACTAGTGAGTTTGTTTTTTTAAAATTAATTGAAACTAGAGATGGTCTACTCATATTTGTTTCCCTGGGGACATGAATACAAATAACGGTGCCACAGATGCCATGGAGGTCCATTCCCTCTTCCCACAACTGGCCAGTCCACTCACATTGAGTGCTCAGTTCAATGTGAGATGTTCATGCCAATCACAGAAGGAGGCTGATTGGCTCTTCCCCGCCTCCTCATGCAGCTGACCACTCTAGCACAGAGGCAGGGCAGGGAGTCTCCTCGCTCAGCCGATGAGTGGTTGGCTGCACGGGGAGGCGGGGAAGAGCCGGCTGGGCTCCTTCCGTGACTGACGTGATGACAGAGCCAAGCAGCACACAATGAATGGCAAGTGGACCAGCCAGTTCTGTGGGGGAGTGGACCTCCATGGCACCTGTGGTGATACTATTCATATTCGTATCCCTATAGATACAAATGTGAATAACCCGTCTCTAATTGAAACGAATACCTTTTTTCTTTTACTTCTCAGGCTACGAAAACAAATGGCCTTATTACGGACCAAAATAGAGCAATAACAAAGGACTTTTCCTTTTTCTTCCCCCTCTCCCCCTGCAAAAATACTAATGTAAGGACTCAAGGCAAGCCATGATACTCCAGTATGAATGTCAATGTCTCTAGTAGAGGTTTTACCTACATATGTCCATTTCGTAGGACCACACCATCGTGTGTGGCACAGCACAAGGCAGTGGTAATCAATCTAGCATTCCTGACTTTTCTGTCTGCCTGCAATATGATTATGATGGAGCTACAGTACTTGCAATCTCTATCAGATTTGGTAATAGTCTTCTCTGTTTAACCAGAAGAGGTTTCTTGAAAGAATTGTAGGATTCTAAACTGAAAAGCTCCAGGTGCTTCTGAGATGTGTTCTAAAAAAGTACAAACATCTCACATTCAAAATGGTGTAGGGGCAAAGGAAGTAACAAGAAGAAACTGTGTAGTCATGAGAAAGAAGCAAGAATAAACAAACGAAATATGCTATCTTCTTTTATCCTTCCTCTTAGCTGCTCTCTCTTTCTCTACTAGAGGCTAGATATGATAATGGCTAACTCTATCTTAGTAAAGCGGATCAGGGACATTGATTTCCAGTATTCCACTGCAATGGCTCGTAAAACGTGCTCCATCTTGCACCTTGGTCTGAACTATAATTTCTCCCAAAGTGCTAGGTATTTAGAGAAATTGACTATCCCAAAATACAGGCACGTTTTTTCAAGAACCCGATTTAATTGTCTCCAATCCGCAATCTTAGATGGGCGATATTCTGGCACCCCTTACGAAAAAAGATTGTGCCCCTGTAAGGACAGAGAAATTGAAACTTTGAAGCATGTCCTTTTGGAATGTGATTTTTACATAAATGAGCGTAACAAATTCCTCAAGCCCATAATGAATATCTTCCCAGGTAGGACTCTGATTTGGTACACAAAATATTTATTAATTGACACTAACAAGTTAACCACCAAATCAGTGGCCAAATTCCTTCTCTCTGCTCAAAGAATACGAAAAACGATCTTGACCTCTACCTAACCCTGTCATAAAAATAAAAACAAAAATAAAAACCAATATATGGGCAATCTATTTTATCAATTTTATCATTTTAGCTGCTTTGAAAGGTTTTAACTGCTTCTATCAATTTTAAACATGAATAATTGTTCTAATTGCTCTATCAATTTTAAATATGAATGTATTTTAATGGGTCAGAGTTCGTAGAATTGATCGCATATAATATTAATACAAAAGCAATAATGTTTTAACTGCTTCCTCTTATTATAAATATTATATGTATGTATTTTAATGAGTTGGAGACCGCAAAATTAAGAGTGTCCGATTGTATACAATATTAATATTTAAAAAAAACCCAATGTATAGGCAATCTACCTTTCTATACTGTTTTAACTGTCTTGCACTGTTTTAATTGCTTCCTCACACATATAAATATTACATGTACTATGTATTTTAATGGGTCGGAGACCGCAAATAAAGATTGTTGTTGTTGTTGTTGATAATGGCTATTTTGACATCAGATGCAGACCCTCTTACAGATCTCACAGGTCTTGTACCTGTTATTCTTTTCATCTGTATTTTACAGAAGACTAGGGAATGTGAATCTCTTGCAGTACTGATTTCATCGAGTTTCCCCGCAATCCCACCTGTATTTTCTTTTTATTCTATATCAGGTGGTGATGCTCTGTTTATTCTCCCCCATTAAAATTTCTATACCATAGGCAGTTTTTCCTAACAGGAAAAAAAATTAAAAAAATTAAAATGTATCAAGGAAAAAGAGCAATCTAGTTACCAATAAGCCATAAGGGGGGGGGGGGAGGAAAGAAGAAAATCATGAGCACAAAATTGTTTCATTGAATATTTTATTATGTAATAAGTTACAGTGAGAATATAAATCTGGATATTATAATAAATCTATAGCTGAAATCCTGTTGTTTAGTGTGGTAAGTCACATCTAAAACTACTGAATTAATGAAACTTAAAGAGGAGTTGACTCATCAAATCCCCACTGATTCAATGGGCCATCTTTTATATATATATATTGATAGAGAGGTTGAAATCTATTGCTCATTATGCTAAACAGTAGATTTCAGCCTATCAATGTAAAAATGGTTTACTTCAATTTATAGTTAATCCTTAATCTAACCTGTCTTTCCACAAGTTTACATGTGTCAGTGATGGATGAATATTTGAGTTTTCCTGGTAACAGTGGAAAGGAATTCCATCTAATATATGGATTTATTTGCCCATTTTATCCCCACTGATTGAAACATACTTTACACTAAGCAGATTCTGTTCTTTAATGTAAACTTTTAGTCTGTTTGGGTAAACAAAGAGCCCCCACTATTTTTGGTGGGAGATGCAAACATACTGATTCACACCCTGAAAGATGCAGTGGTTATGCTTTGTTTACCAGAGAACAATGGATCTAAAGTTACAGGTGGCT